ATTTGATGCACATCCTAGTGCTTCGGTTTGTTTTGTTTTTTAAAAAAATTTATGCACATTTCTGATATCATTCAGGATAATTTGGTATGTAATTCTTTATATGTTTTTTAATATCATCACTTCTCTTAAAAAATAAAAATAATTTTTTTTGTTGCACCTATAAACAAAAATGTTTTCTACGTAACTTAAGCATCCCCATACGGATTATAAATCATGCAAATTTTTTTTTTTGGTGAACTAAATCATGCATTTTTAAAAACCGGCATGGGTTGCAAAATATTCATTACTTGTTAGAATGGATTAGTGAAAGCCTTGTTTGTTAGGCAAAAAGAAAACATAACAAAAACAAAAGCAAAAAAGCAAAAGCAAAAGCCTCCTCTGATCCTTGCAACACCCAAACACTGGTTGCGACGATCTGAAGTCATTGTTGTGAGGTCCGATAAGTTTTTGTAATTTTGGAAGGTTTCACAAGTCTGTAAACTCAATTTCCAGTGATTAATGAAGAAGTTTAGGTAAGTCTTTCACTTGTAATCCTTTTCTCGTTAACATGCTTTTACCATTTTGGGGTTTCCTCGTCGACAAAATTGCCTTGTGGTTATTGATTGAAAATAAGATTGAAGGAGTTGCATCGATGCATGTACTTTTCAATACACAGAGCTCGGTCTATTCCCCGATACCTTTAGAACCTATTTATTTATAATGTGATCGAATAAATGAGTATAACCTATTCAGCCCCTATAGGTATATTTTAAGACACTTTGGAATTTCAAACACATTACATCATTTGGATTTGCAGTGACCAGTTATTAACGTCAGAATGGGAAGACAAGGATAAGATCTCTTGCATATGGCAATAAAGTTCCATTCATAATACAAAACACAAAAATAAAAATAAAAAATACACACAAAATAAATAAGAAGATCTAGGTGCATTCATAAAACTCATGCACGTAGTAAATCGCTGGAAATCAACTTTTTTCTAGATGCGGTGGTGGGTGTGGCGGCGAAGGCGCTTCTTCTGTGGGGGTTGCAGAGTTCGTTTAGGCTCATAAATTGTTTTGGGATTTTGGTTATGTTGGGTTTGTAGACTTTATTTGGGCTTATGGTTAATTGTGGTGATGTGTGAGTTAGTAGTTTTAGTGCAGCTTTTGTCTGCGTTAGTTTTGCTTTTAGCATGTTAGTTTGTTGTCTTCTTGAAATTGGTATCTTGTTTTGTTGATATCTTTGATTGTACCGTTGAAATTTATCTAATAACATTTCTATTTGATCAAAATTAAAATAAAATAAAACTCATGCACGTAAGTACCTTCTCTTTAATGAAGCTGGTACTAAAGGGTTAGGTTGGGTTAATAAACTCCTTGTGAGATCGTGAGCTGCATATAAATTGCTGAAAATGTTTTTTTATTTTTTTCCCTTTTATTATGAAAGAAGATGTTGTTTCCAGACCAAGAATTGTTATTATCACAACTCTCTTGCATTAAAAAAAAAAATTATAAAAAC